CTTTTATTTCCATTGATCTTTTTTTTTGCACTAAACATTTTTAGTTATATATACTTTTCCTCACCCATAGCATAAGAATGTAAACTCGTTGATTGCAGTATGAGTCTAAACTGATAAAAGTTCATCACATTTTGGTTAGTCTTTATCAATATTTTATTTCATATATGTGCACAAAGTCTTCATTTCTGTGCTGTTTCCCTCTGAAGTAAGATGGGGATCAAATTAGAGAGCAGCATGTTCACATAGGTGTGGCATGTGGAGGTTTATCTTTTTGTTTGCAAGGGTTAGTGTCATCAGAGGGAATCCCCTTTCTTTTGAGCATATGAGAAAAATGGTAATACTCATCACGATAATATCACATCTGGATATTGAATGAATATGTCAGTCATTAATAAAGTAGCTACTTTCAATGAGGCATAATGAAGAACTATCATTTAATCTGATGATGTAATACAATGGAAATGTTTCATTACAGCATATCTTGATGGGACAGATCCAGCTATTGTGGTGCATTGCAAAAGCAGAAAGCTTTTCATTATTTTTTATACTCTGATCCTGCTACTCCATTAAATCAGTTTGTCTAGTCTTAGACCATTAGCACCATTGCAAATTCCATTCAGTCAGTCAATTTCTTGTAGATATGAAAAAATGTCTTGAGTATAAAGACAAGTATAAAATTAGGATAGATACAGATTCAGATACTCAGAGGTGGCTGCAGGAAAGAGTTTGATTCTGAAAGGTGCTTGTGTTCATGCATAGACCAATCTGTCATGGATTTGTGAACACTGTCTGTCATAATCAGAATTGAATCCACTGACAAGAAGAATCACACAAGCAATAAGAAAAATACAGTTTCCTTAGAAACAGACATAGCATTTTCAAAGTTTATAATATAATTCTGTTTAACTTGGATAGTTAGTCATAGGCTCTGTATTACATTGTGTAATAACATTGACATCACTTGTCATTTGGATTATATTTATGTTTTAATTACAGATATTCACCAAGATAAATTTGCAGTAGGCTATGGAAGAGGTCTTATGAATTTCCTCATATCGGATTCTGACTAGTACCCTCAGCCCCTGCGTTAAACCCTCAGCCCCTGTGTTCTCAGAACTTCTTGTTGTGAGTCCCATGCCATCTTAAGATCACAAATGCTGCTGTGATACTAATGTGAAGGATCAGAGCATTTCTTTTACTTCTTTTATATGAATTCTGAGCCATATATAATGGCCAACAGTTCACTTCTTACTTACATGCAATGGGAAATACAGCCATATCAGTGAAACTTTTCTTTTATTTTGCAGGTTTTGTAGTAGTCCTCTGTAGTTATCAAAAAATACAGAACAGATGTAGTCCTTGACATTTCCCATTGATCCTGGTCTCATCACTGTCCAGGTCAGAGATCTATCACAGAGCATACTGTGGCTCCTTCTAGCCCACAAAACCATGCTTCCTTTCAATGGAAAATAGGGTGTATGGCAGGAGGACTGATAAATGTCTAAATTTTTCCACAACATAAAATCAGGGTCTGGTAAAAGCATGCACTAACATCCAGGAAGTACATCCAAGTCCTGCAAGTTGAAATTCACTTTTTGAACCCAGAATCCATGCAAAAGTAAGTACGTATTTTCTGTGGCAAGAATAAGACAAAGCATCCCATACTTCTCTGCAGATTCGAATTGTATTGTTTTATTCTGAAACCGTCTTTAGCCTGCCTGGGAAAGATCATGGCAGAAGGAGTGGCCAACCTTGAGAGCCACCCCCATCAACCTCAAACTGCGTCTCTCTGTGGAAAGCTCTGGCTTTCCAGGTAGGCTGTAGATCTTGTCATTGTCATGAGAAAGGGAGTAATAGCAAAGCATCTACTCTCTGGAGAATTGTCTTACGCATTAACCCAGTCCAAAAAGGCTGATTTCTTTGTGTGAAACATTCACATAAAACAATGTGAAGTTTCCAGCTATTAATCGTTTTGTCTCGAGTTTGAGCAACTGTCTCCTCAGGTACAAGCTTCTGAAGCTTTTTTTTCTCAAACACACCAAGGTGACAGGTTCCCTTTCCCCTATTTCACTTGTAATAACAAATCCTACCCCCTTTCCCATATGACAGCAGTATTACTTTTATGATCATGTATTCCTAGACATTGTTTTTTGGACTGTGTGATGGATGGTGTAAGAGGCTGCAGAAAGTAAAGAAGGAGATGGGAGGGCACGGAGATGGGACCCCTCAGGGCTTCTTGCAGGCAGCCCCAGGCGGGTGGTCAGGGGGCAGCAAGCCAGACAACCCTTGCAGGTGACCAAAATACCTTCCACCACCCAGAAGGGACAGGCAGAGATGGCTGCCCCTCAGGAAGTTGCTGTTAGCCACAGCCTGCCCACACGGACGGAGGGACCCATTTTGTGATTAAATGTTACCATCACAGTCCTTGCCACACTCATTATCTTTGATCAACTGAAAATAATAAATTATACTTGATAAATGCTGTCCACACCCCAGGCTGGGGAGCTGCTATATCCCAAATGCTATGTTTTACACAAGCAGTAGTTAGCCTGTAATAACAGATATTTAGCTCAGATTGTTTTTTTCAGAAGTCATTCCCAGTTCTTTGCTGCCACTGGCCTTGTTCTGCAGGCTTCAGGGAGTAAAACTTATCATTGGATCTTGGGGAGTCTCCACCAATTTTTGACAAAATTTCCATTTCCATCCTCCTCTGAAGGAACCTATTTCTTTTTACAATTCCGTCAAATTATTCTGAAATTTAATTTCTGCAATCTCTCCAGCAGGTCAGAAAAAACCAGTAAATTGTTAAATGCTTAGAACTTGATTTCAAGCAGCAAGGGTAGTCTGGGGAAAGGAAATTGGCTTGCAACTATTACATCATACAGTGAAATCGCTTAGGTGCTGGTCTCCTCCTTATCTTACAGGTTGTGGAGCCTAAATAAAAATTTCCAGAGCATTCCAGAGTGTAAAGTCTCTGCCCACCTATGTCTGGGCCATGACAGATGGAGCACGTAGAACTAGCTAAAACTGTGAACAGAAGCATGCTAATACCTGTGTAAAACAAGCATTTGCTGTTTATGTAACCTTTAACGAACATATCCAGAATCTTTCCTTCACTGGGTGTCATGTCTTTACCTGGACTGAAGTGCAGAAAGAGAGTCTTGTATTGATATTGTATTTAACAGGCAAGATCACAGACATTAGGCCGTACCTATGATTCAGTGTGGTCTTAGGATAGTGCAAAATCAGGTGGTTTCTTTTTTTTTTCCTAATTCTTAGATTGATTTTGAGCTGGTTGCTAGCTTGTGTTGAAAGACTTGGTCTCTTTGGGCAGAAATGTACACACTTTAGTCAGCAGCTTCATTACTAAATAAATTAAGTCTTGTGTTCTCCGAGTTTGCACACCCTGGCCAAGTTACATGTTAAGTTATATGACCCCTCTATATGGGAGTCCCTGGAAGTTGCACATATAACAAGGCTATAGAATAGAAATTAGGTATTCATGACACACTGAATGTTTGTGAAATGTCCATAAAGTAGTATGAAAACTCTGTATGTATAGGAGTTCTCTATTTCCTTACAAATCTGAGTATTAACCTATACCTTTTTTGTTCACATACATGCTATTTTTCAAGTTGAAGCAAGCTTAATCACAAAAAAAAAAAAAATCCATCACTTTAACAGATTGGCCTTCTGTCAGAAGAAAATAGATATTTTCTGAAATTTCTAAAAAAAAAAAGTATGTCTAAAATCCACTAACCTCTTCAAAGTGAAGTTATAACATTTCAAGTAATTGGGAGAGATCTTCTGATAGTTGTAGAAGTTGTTAGATGGTATATTAATCGTAGTCTCCATCCATAAGATTACATGTACACTGTGTCTTACTATTTCAATTTAAAGACACACTTCTTGCTGTTTCAGAATTTGGTAATAGACTGTAGAATAAATCAACACTTCCTCTTATTATAGTTTCTCAATTATTTCCACTGTTTGAAGTGAGCATTAAATGTAATTATTTTAGATATTGGTCATTGTTGCCTTCCTTCTCCTCCTTCACTTAACAGAATCATTAGATTATTTTTGTGTGTTTGTTTTTTAATTTGGTTTTCTTAGCCATCTCCTTGTATGCCTGCTGGGGGAATACTGATATACCTGCTGCCCTATGCTAATGTGACTTTGTTACACCATGACTGAAGTTGACTCAGCATGTTTTATCTAAAACTGTTTGGTTTATATAAAAAATATATGTATGTTGCTCAGAAGAGGTTAAAAGTCCAACAGAATCTAACTGAAACCTGTTCTTCTCCTGGTTATATCTCTTCTGCAAACCAGATTGTTTCCTTCTTAACAGGCTGGAAGCACCCTTTGAATAACTTATACATACTCTAATATTACTGCATGGTATATTAAATGTATATGGTGCCCTATGGGTATCACAGTTGGATTGTTAAGCATATGCCAAGGACATTTCTGCTCATATGTCAGTTTGGAGACAAATCCTGCTGCAATGAAGTAAAGCTAGCCTTAAGGCACTATGTAAAATATTACAGATTACTGATTTATCAAGTGACAGTTACTAATGACAGGGAATAAACTCTCTCTTCTTTTAAGTCATCCCCTCATGTAAAAGTATCGTCAAGGACTTGCCTAGCAAAGCAGCACTTAGTTTTTGCACAGCAATCGATGTGGCTGGTCTCCGTACTACAGCAGCTGGTCTGCAGTGGTAATTCCCAGTAATCTCTGCACACCATAATTCTCAGTGATCTCTGCGAGAGTCAGGAATTCTCAGCGGATGCCCAGGATCAACTGCTAGGAGATAAACAGGGGACTTTTGCAGAGAGTGTTTCTCCTTATAGAGTGTGAAAGGGAATTTCATGTACGACTACATTACAGCTACCTGGAAAGAGAAATTACGTTCAACGGCAGTGAAGCAGTTGAACCATGCTAGAAGTCTACAGACTTTAAAGAAAAAGTTAATTTTTATTTTCTTTTACCCACAGGTCTACCCACGGATAGCGCCGGCATTTTGGCACTACCTGCGGGTAGAAGTGAGTAGCGGGTATTTGAATACTCCCACATCTTTACTTTACAGCTTACTGGTATTTACTGACCTCCTAGTTTGTCCATTGTGCAAAAATAATTAGCTACCATTCTAGCTGCCATTTTCTGTGAATGTAGTCTTGTACTAATTCCATATTGTTTTGACTACAGTGTAATTACTAACCCAAGACACAAAGACGTGATGTTTATATGCAAGATTAAAGACAAAAAATTGAAATCTAAGTCAAGGCCATATCATACATTTATGACTATAGCACAGAATCAAAGTACAGAAATCCATACCTGCACCTCCTTTTATAAACACATCTTACATTCATGAGAAGAATGTGGACCTTCAGTTCTGCTATATCATTTTTGCAAAGTTTGTACAACTCAGCTTGATATCATTTCTCCCCTCTTTTGTCCCTCAGGAGCATGAGCAGCTCAGCTATTCCTCCACAAGGTCCAAGGCTCCAAGTGTTATCATCACAGGTCTCAAGCCAGCCACCAAGTATATATTTCATATCAGAGTCAGGACGGCAGCAGGATACAGCGGCTATAGCCAGAAGTTTGAATTTGAAACTGGAGATGAAAGTAAGTTTCACTGAAGGAAAAAAAATCAAATACAATAGAAGTAGCATCTAATTCTAAAACAGTGAGGCATTGGGAGTTTGAATGGCTGAAGCCATAGCATTTGCCTATCACAAAATGACCACTGCTGTATGATAAAAAACAAGTAAACCTCAGCCACACATTTCTGGATTTATAAAAACAAATAGAAATTTTAGCCCAACGCTGCAACTGAAGGAATGTTTTCTTCTGCAAAATTTCCTTATGGGTCCCTTCCAACTTGAGATATTCTATGATTCTATGATCCTTTCTTTGCTTAAAGAAGGCCTTCCTTTTGACATCTAGAAATACCCGTAGTCAGGCTTTACCTAAGTCCAGCAGCTTCATGCAAGCTCCCAGAACACAGTGATGGTGTCTTTTCTGTGTAGTTTTTAGTGCTCCCACACTCTCCAAATAAAAAAATGAAAACTTTTATATGCATTTCCGTCAACCAATAAGCCTACTAAATTTGCCAGTAAGAAGGAAAAAGCCTACCTATTTCTACAGAATACGCAAAAAGGCTTGATACTATGTATGATGTTCATGCTCTGAACAATTTTATATTTGTCATGTATTGCCCTCCATGTTCAAAGAAACTGCAAAAAAGGTATTTACAAGCATTTGAGATAAAATTAGTGTAGTAGATACAACACTAAAACACTCATTAATGAAATTACTTTAATTAACCAATTATATATACCATGTTTTTCATTAGTGTTTTAGAATTCAAGTTGCTTAAGCTAAAATACAGACTCAAAACTATGTAAGTGTTTTCAAGAGCACCCATGGGCTTGTTTTCCATTTTCATTGCTTCTTAACTTCTATTTCAGAAGTATTTTAGGGATAGACTTCCAAGTGCTTAATGCCTAATTGGACTTTGTAAAATTTTCTGGGTACTTAAGCCAATTGGTTTGAATAGGAGTTGAGCGCTTGGGTGCTTTCAAGAATTCCAGTAGATCCTGTCTGTATCTTCTGATGCAATAAATACTAGGCTTTAGGCACCCAGGGACATAACTCTTATCAAAAGTAAATGGTATTTAAACCTCTATGAGCCTATATCATGTTTGTGAAAATGTGACTTACCCATCTAAATCAGGAAGGCTGTGGTTCCAGTGACATTTCTCTCATTGGCACTGCTGATAGAAACATCTCTTGGGAGTGAGATTCCACCCACTCCTTCCCAGCTCCATGTCTCCTTCTCAGTTGCACTAATGCAACTGGCCCTTGGGCTGCACGGTGAGCTAGAGCTCACGACACTCTTAAACATTTATTACCTCTATTACTTCTAAGCACTCAGTGTGAATCTTCATAGTGAAACATAAATACACATTATATATTTGCTGTTTACTAACATTTATTGCTTAAGTTTATGCCTGCCTAAAAGTAGTTGATTTGTTATAAATATAATTCCTCACATGATTGAAAGGAAATGTAGACAGAAAAGTTTTTGTTTATGATCAATTGAGATGGAGGTCGAGAGAAATTCTGCCACTGTTTGAAATGGTACCTGGAGCTAGATAAAGTTTAATTAAGTTTAATTAAGTTAATTCAGTTTAATTAAGAGGGTAGTTCAAAGGACTGTGGTCTTATTCAAATATTTATATGGTACTGCTTTAGATTTCAAAGGGGGAAAAAAGCAAAGTAAGTGCCTGCTGGTAAATATTACTTATTTCATATCGAAGCAGTACTTAGTGACCAGTCAAATGATGCTTTGTTACTCTCCAAATATCTTGCTTCCTCACAGCAGTATTTTGAAAATTGGCCTATTCTAAACCTTAAGGCAATATCAGATGATTATGATCATTCATTTGTACCCCTTTCATAGCACGGGCCAAATGTCTGTAACTCTAACTTTTCCAGACAGCTAATGACAATAGATTGATATGTAACATCTACCATATACAAATAGTCTTGATTTAAAGTGTTCCAGTAACGGGGAGCTCACCATATTTATAGGTAGATAGTGCCAGTGCTTAAACCTCAAAATTAAAAATTTGCACCTTATTTCTTTTTTTTTTTTTTATTAGCTTGTACCTTGTGACTCTTCTCTGCCAAATTAAAAAGCCAAATACTATCAGAAATCTCTTCCTCATCTAAATGTGTGTATGCCGTTTTTTAGAATTCTCTTGTCTTTCCCATAAGTGATATAAGTGCTCTCTCTCACTCTAAAAAAAACCCCAGTTTTTCAAAAAATTGAATCATTTTGTAACTCTCTAAAATTTTAACACCCTTTTTGAAGTATAACGTCAGAGCTGAACCTGATACTGAATTAAACTGGAAAACTAAATCTCTTTATGATGCCATAAACAGACCTAACACCACTTACCTCCTTATAATTCAGTTTTCTTTTACTTACAGGTCTAAGCACTTGCTACCTGAACTAGATCATTGTCTTACACAGCTGAATAACTAGAACATAGCAACATTTTTGTCAGTACCTTTGTATTCCAAGATACTGACCTACATTTAGATGGAGAGGTTGAGGAGGGTTTTGTTGAGACTTGGACTACATACTTACATCAGTACATGTAAATGTTAATTCGCCCTTGCTGGCATGCATCTATCTTACAAACCAGTCCAAGTCAAGCTGTGTAGGAATCTAGCTTCATCATTTACTGCTCTGGCAGTATGCAGCTCAGCTGAAAATGTTTGGATTTTTTAATATATATTCTTCTCAATTATTCTGAAAGATACCAAATAGTATTAGACCAAGGCAGACTATTGCAGCTCCCTCCATCCCTACCCAAGAAACAAGTTACTTGGTGAAATTTCCACATTTGTAATTACTTTTTGCGGTCTTTCAGTTAGCCAGGTTTTAATCAATTTAATATGAGCTATACTGATTTTATACAAAGTTAACTTTTTCATCAGAAGGCCAGGAAGAATAGAGTCTTTTAAAAGCCTGTATTGTCAACAGAAAATTTATCAACCAACAATCTCATTAAAAGGACAAAAAATATTTCATGTGTTTGATAAAAATCCTTCTCAACTGACATTAGCTAGTAATATCCTTCAGCTCTACCGGTTGTACATGTTATAGTCTTAACATCTAAAGAAGAATTCCAGGACCAGTTGCAGGTCAACATCCAAGGTTATTCCATTTACCCTGTTTGAATATTGACATAATTTGTTAATAAGTAGCAGTACAGTGAGCAATCCAAAATTAGGATTTTTCTTAGAGTGATAGACAAGTTGTAAAAAAGTAACGGCTCATCAATTGTGAGACGTGTATATCAACGTCCTAAAACATACTGTCCATGGCAGGACAGTGCTGTCATGCCTTCTCCAGTTTATTGGTTGAAACACTATCTGTGCCACTTCAGTTGTATAGGATAAAATTAGATACATCCTTACTAGGAACACCAAGACATTTTGGTATAATTATTAATGTTGGTGCATGAAGCAGAAAGAAGGCCAACTCTGTAGGAGTAATGAAAAAAGTTAGTTAATCATGCAATGCTGATATGGTTTTTGGGAAGCACCCTCACTTACTGAGCAGCAGATGTGATTTAGACCCTGAGTTCCATTCTCTCCAGAACTCCAAAGCTCAAGAGAGGGGTCATTGATTCTGATAGAGGTCCAATATTGTTTCAAGCACATGCTCTGATCCATGCCACAACAGAGAAGCCATCCCTAGGATTTTTAGAAATACATTGAATTATCAATGCAAAATGGAGATTTTTTTGTTAGTGTGTTTGATGTTTTGATAATAGTAAATTAAATTTCTCCTTGAAACAAACAACTGACATAGCACATATCTCATATTTAGAAACTGTCTTGCTGGATCTCTCCCCATGTCTGCCTAGTCCTACTGTTCATTCACTGGTAGTCAGCACTGGATACCTCAGAATGTCTCATTTTAATCTTGAAGTATTTCCTTACTGTGTTTTATGTTTTCAGCCATTTGTTCTTCAAATTTGACTTTGGCCTTTCTGATTTCTCTACTGTATGTGCCCAGAAGCCCCAGAGACTTTACTTTTCTTCTGCATTTCCTAAACAAGAGCAACATCCTTGCTCAGATCTCAAACTGCTTGCACAGGCTTTCCATTCATCCGCTGGTCAGGAAGCCTATGTTAGGGGCAACACTTGGAAGAAGGCTTTTCAAGCAAATACATACCAAAAAGTTTTACATTCTTATGCTAGTGATGGGATTATTTTTCCCTTTTAAAAGTCTTTTTTAAGATTGCCTTTCCATTGCCTCCTCCCTTTCCCACATTCACTGTTAGATTGGAGCCCATCAGGCTCACTGGAGCACAGGAACTGCAGCACTTCTGAAAATGTAAAGGTTACCCTAATTAGACTTTATATTTTTCTTTCCTATTGTTCTTAAGCACTGTTGCTTACAATGCCTTGTAAATCCATCTGACAGCCAGTTCCTGCCTGTTAGAGCTCCAGTTCTCACCATTCACACTTATCTATCTTACAGCTACTCAGTATTATCTGTCTAGCTGTCTTTCTGTCACTTTTTTATCTTTCAGTCTGCTGGAAGGTCTGCTGCCTGATAGATGTCAAATTGAAATAACTAAAGGATATAGCTAAGAGACAGAAGTGAGCTGTCATTACGGCTTCCAGCCCTTTTATACCAAATACACAACCTTTTAAAAGATTTTGGAGAAATTTGCTCAAAGAAAAAAAAAAAGGAGAACAGAGCTGGAAGATTCTCTCTATCTTTCATCCTCTTGCACCATGACTAAAACGTCTGCACCATTTTTCCCAGTGAGGAAGTGAAGAAGCCTCAGGATATTTCCCTTCAGCCCAGAGAGGAGGGAAAGTGCAGCTCCTCCTCATTTGGGTGAAGAACCCAGAGAGGAGCTGAGGCAGGGCATGGATGTAAAGAGTAGATGGTGGGGACAGAACTGACACCAGGCAGGATGCAGAAGAGATTTCTGGGCATGGTGTTAAGCAAGGAAGCTGGAACGATGCAATTAGACACTTTAAATGTCATTTCAGGCATATAACCTGAGTTAAGCATGAAGAGTAACGGGAGTGAAGAGTTTATCTGGATAATATGCTTCTGGGTACACGTATGATACATGCTGCAGTTTTAAAATCAAATCACCACTTTGACTAACCACATTAGTTGCAGCTACAACGTGTTTGAAGAGTTTTGACACCCAAACATTATAGTATACTATCTAATCATCTGCTGGGATAAGTAATAAATCCTTCCTTTTCCTTATCTTGTGCTACTCATTTTTTAAAGTATGTTTTTGTCAAAATGAACTTATTGAGCAGACAGGCAGAGAGAATGAAACTAGACAAATACTACCAGAGAAAACAGCCAGCCCAGTTAGGTAGGTACTAAGTTCCTTTATGAGTCTTAGCACTGCGAGTGGTTTACATATTGCTGTTGCACCAGCACTTCCTCACACCCTTGCCTATCAACTTTAACTATCAAATGGAGTACGGCTCCATACATGATACAGCCACATTCATCCCTATGATCACAGAGTTGCTAATCATCCCTGCACTGGACTGATTTGGGTGGTGCATATTTGGCAGATACAAGACTGCACTCTGGACGGTGTAGAGACAACAAAATACTGATTTTATCTATATGAACGCTGGCCATGTTTTCTAACAAATGAGATTCTGGAAAAAATGCTATTTACTCCTATGATTAAATGCAGTACTCTAATATGTACACACAAAGAGATGAAATAAGGTTGCAGGAACTTACTTGGCTTTGCAACCTACCATAATTGGTTTTTAAACTGAGTTTTTCTGTCTTGCATAATCAAGAATAGTCCTGAGGAGAAACACAGGGTCGTATACCAATATGCACAGCTGATGGAGAGGAAAAATGAAGGAAGAAAAAGCAGGAAATGACAAAAAGATTCAAGAACATGCACAACAGAAACAATACATGTTAAAGCTCGTTATTTACAACTTGAACTTTACCTTAAGAGAAAGCTGGAGAAATGAGAAAAGACCAGACATATTGAGGGGCATGCTGAATTTAATTTAGAATGGCAAAATGCTGTAAAAATTTTAATTATTGGGTGTCCCTGATTACTATCTTCTTACTACCTAGATAGTGTTTTATGGAACCTTTTACCTGCATGTGAGTCTGTGTATGCACATACACATGTGCTTATATATGTGTTGTTCACTGCACTGTGCCTTTATTGATTTCTAGAAGGATCACTTCAAGCAAAAATAAGTATTTCCATCATTTTGCCTTACCTGCCTCTCTGTCAGTTTTTAACAAATCCACATTTTCCAATTATACTTGTCTGTCATTTGACATTTTTATCTGACAAGTAAATTAAGGTCGGGAAGTTTCAGGCTTGAAAGCCCTTTATAGTGATTTGGCTACTTGAAAAAAAAATCCTAATATATTGGACTCTGGCACCTCTGCCAACACAGTAACATACAACCGACAGAAACAGAATGATCACTTTTTAAGTATGTACTGTCTCAGCTAAATATCGTATTGCTTAGAGGTGGAAAGAACTTAGTCAGTCTGGAATTTCTCCCCTTCATGAATTTGGCTCTGGTTCCCGATAGAAAATATATGTTATTAAACTGATAGACTGCATTCTGTTTTAGCTAAAACACCAAGAAATAGCAGCTTCATTCAGCGGAAATGATCCAGGACATGTGAGTTTCTTCATCTCGATAGCTGTGGAGTGCTGCTTTGGACCATGGAATCAGTCCCTACATTTGCACCTTCAATTCTCATTAATAAAGGGCCCGGGTTGACTCCCTGGCAATGACTGTCTGTTGAAGAAAAGCACACCTAATTTACTTGAGCCCATGGTTTGCTTTTCTCTGGTTGAATTCACTATTTTTGCACACCTCTTTTTCCTATTAAAAACAAAAAAAAGAGGGCTGCAGTTTGTCCTCTCACTTCCATTGCAGAGATGGGCAAGATAGACTCATCTAAAACCTCCTCCTCCATTTACAACTTCAAGCTTGTAACAATCTTTGCAACATTTAGCACAAGTGCCCCAGTCTGAAAATAGTATTCAGCGTTTGATTTGGAGACCCTGTTATTATTTGCATTGTTTCTTGTGTGGCATGATATTTGTTATGTTGTATTTTTCCAACTAAATCTGACCCTGTGGAACATAATACAATGCAGAGCTAGAATCCACTCCCATAATATCACTAGATACCATTTTGGAGATTAGCTATTCAGTGAGTATTTGCTACATAATTTATTGGAAGATGTATATATTTAACTTGTCTGTGGAGAGCTTATGACCACAGATACTGAATGCCTTGTAATTTACTGCCTGTGCATATCTCCATTAAATTATATGGACAGAAACCTAATTGCAGAAATTTAATATGTTGTTTTTGCTGAAAATTTGACATAAACTACTATTGTTTTTATTTGTTTTACTACTATTACAAAGCCAGTTTACACTGCTAATTTCTAAACCACTCAAATATTATTTCGAAGCCAAATGTTTTTCTTGGAAACAGCATTTCGTGAGGCTTTGGGCAGCAATGTGTGCATTGCATTGGGCTTCATCAACTGCAAAGTGAGAGAATACAGCCTGCTGAGGTTTCTTTTTGCAGCAACCTAGCTCTTTGTGCTTCTCTTTCAGCTTCTGATATGGCTGCGGAGCAGGGACAGATTCTTGTAATTGCCACTGCTGCCGTTGGTGGATTCACTCTCCTGGTCATCCTCACTTTGTTCTTCCTGATCACTGGGAGGTAATTAACACTACAGTGTTCTCATTCACTCAGGATCAGTCTCATCCAAAACTAAGAATTTAAGAATAATAGTTAAGTCATTCACCACATTTTCAGTGCTAAAATAAGGGTTAGGCATAGTGGGGTGAATGTCCTCTTTGTTCAGCACTGCTCACACTCACAGTTCTGTTGTGAGTGTTGTTTTTGGTAAAAATCCAGTTTGGGGAGCTAAGCAATTATGTGAAATCAGGAAACAGCGTGGCTGTTTTTAAAATAAGTTTCTGGACCTCTTTCCTGCAGAGTGAGAATTTAAAAATACAATGTACCTGCATCCTCAACGCTCTGACGTTAGGAGACAAAAAAACCAAAAAAACACAGTATTTTTTACAAAATCTCGTAACTACCAATTGCAAAGGTTTGGAGGGTATAACCTTAGGATTTTTGATGTCTTGGGGTTGGCAATGTAGCTTGCTAAAGGCACTTGAATGGACATTTTTTATTACTCTGACTATATTAAATTTATAGGAAAAATCATACACAATTATGTATATATTTTATATGCACATTTCTGCATCTGTTAAGAGAAAATATAGGAATTATGCAGTGAAATTAAATTAAGGAAAACTTTACTCCAAAATACTAGAATGATTCTACTGCCTGTGATATCACTGGTGAACAGAAAATAGCTTCCTGAAGGTCCTGTTTTATTGCTTTTTAGCTTTTTTTTTTTAAATTGGATTGAAGATATCCCAATTAAATCTACATTACAGCAGTACTGTTGCACTGGCAGGGAAATTCACCAGTCTGGACAATGATTATTTTTTATAACTACCCTGATTCTTATACTTACAGTTCTTTTAGTACGGTGCTGATTGTCCACCTTCCTTCAGTTGATGTGTTGATAAGGATCAAATAATGACATTATGCAGATTGGATAAGAAAGCATTTTGATTTGCGTGGCCAGATGCCATGCTCAGTTACACACTGAAGGTTTTAAGGGAACTCAAATTCTACTTGCACTTGCTAAAAAACGCACGTAGAGGTCGGAGCATCAGTCCTTGCTGGAGCTGAGATTCCCACAGGCAGAGCAGCTTCCATGGTGCCTTGGTTCCTTTTCCACTGAGCCTCCGGGTGTTTCCTGTGCGATTTCAGGACTTCACCTGCTATCACCAGGAAGCAAAGCCGAATTTAAAAGGACAAAGACCTTATGTCCCCGTCTCCTCTGTGCGACATCAGTGGCACCGCAATGCCGCCACGGATCAAGAAGGCTTAAAACCTACAGACTGACCCTCTGCAGTGGTCTGGGCCTCCGCGCAGGGGAGTCGGGCTCGTAGCTCCTGCAGTAAGCACTCTAGGGGGGGGTGTGGGCTCTCGCCCCTTCCACCCTTTTCCCCTCTCCCTCCTTCAGACGCAAAAAACAGCCGGTGGAAGAGCCTCCATGTGAGGAGGATTCTCCATGGAGTTTCCTTCTTACCTGGCTTGGGGACTGAAAAAATCCCGAGTTGGGATAGGATTCCGCACTATTCCTGGTTTAGCGCCTGTGTTTACACTTAGAGAAAAGATGTTACACTGACTCCTCTGAATGTGATAATGGTCATCACAGACGGGGCTGATATCAATAGACGGTGCTGCGCTTTCAGATTTGAAATTAAGTTTCTGTTTTGTTGGTATAACATTACCTCTTATTTGAAAAGAAAGTGAAGTCCTATCAGCGTAGGCCAGAGGTTTTATTTGCAGTAACCAAATAAGGCACTGCAGTAGCTACCATTATGAGAATTAATGCTCTCTCTGCTAAATAATAAAACCAGTTAAGTCTAACATTCTGTTGAAGTTAATGGGAGAAGTTAACATTGGAACATATTGTGACCTTAGATCATCTTAGAAGCTAAGTAAATATTCCTACGATTACTACAAACACTGACAAACAGTAGGGTCTTTCAGAAGAGAGAGGAGTTATTCAGACAGAGACAAACTTTCAGAGAAAATGGTTGTGTGGAATCCTTTCATGGAATCCTGAAACATAACTCAAATTCTTCCTTTAGAAAAAAATCACTAATCTCAGGAATGAAAAAAAATATGGAAATGGGTTTCTTTCTGTGTTTATTCCTCCTGTTTGCTAATGTTAAGGATATATCAGAGATTCTCTTAGCTTTCTAACATCTTACTCAATGGGACCATTTCAATTATGTAAGATATGAATTCATTTTGAAGTGCTGCTTAAATGCAGTGATAAGAGTGTATTCCACAGAATACAGAGCAAGAAAATTTTGAATAAATACTCAATTTACTCTAGGACTGGAGGCAAATTTTTGCGTGAAAAATGGCATTGGTACCCTACAGATGTGCTCTGCTTCACTGTTTAGAATTAGCAATTTGATGAGCTGTCGAGTCACAGGGCTGCTGATGAGTCTATTCATAGTGGAGAGGCTGGGTTAAATAAGCACCTGCCTCTGCACTTCGCTGAGTGATTATCCACCAAGAGCAAGCAGGAAGCACGGCTGGCAATTGCAGATAGAAAAATGAAAGCGACAGAGACTTCGAGGCGCAGGGTATGCAGTGAGACGGGGGTCTTGGCTACGTTCCAGGAAATGCGATGTTAAAGCTCAGTGTGATTTATTCTTAGCATTACAGAAATTACTCCTCTCCGATTGTTCTGTAGCCAACAGGGAATGGGGAGCTGGAGCTGGAAGACTCCTCTGCTGGTGATTACTCACTGACTTCTGTAGTCAAACTTTGGGGCCACATGCATACTTAGGATGATTGGACAGGGTTAAGGCCTCGTTTCTTTGACTGTTCCCTTGGACAGACACTTTAAGTGTAAGAGCTTGTGTTCAGTGTTCTTGGCCGTTGGCATCCTCAGACCAGTTGTCCAGGTCCTAAAAATGGCACTGGCATGCTTAGTGGTCCCAGCAACTGGTGTACAATCTGAAGATTTCCGCAGAAACTGACAATCCACTGGTTGCTGTTTCCCTCCATAAGGGTACATAACCATGACAGCTTCAGAAGTTTCTGCCCTTCGGGTTTTCATCATCACCTCTGTAGCAATGAATGAATTTGTGAGTGTTTCTACTCTGTTTCAGTAGTTTAAATGAACCATTGAAATGAGGCGAGTTCACGTATTTCTCATATCTCCATTGTTAGTATTTTACTGGATATACTATCTATAATTATAGTTTATTTTATTTTATAAGGCTGGTAATGAACACACAGAGGCCAGTCATTTTTTCCAAGCTGGTCTTGGTACTGAATGTCCGTACACCAAAGCACACGTCCACATGCACTGCTGTTCTCCACTGGGATCAGTGCCCCAACAGCCCTTAGCCTAGCCCTTAGCCCAAAAGATTTCCCTCTAAATCATACTTAGGCTGTTCACTGAGTGAGAAAGAGCTTTAAGACCAAGAGCAAATATTTTGTTTTTTCTTGACGGAAACAGTTGCTCCTATCATGTGACTCTCTAAATCGGCATTAACAGTCCTGCAGGTAGGCAGTGTTCAGGCTGGGGGAGATTTCATTACAGGGAACCTGAAAGCTTGCCATGTGGCAGTTTTCTCCAGCATACCCTTGCATTGTCAGGTAAGGTTGCTAACAATTCATGAACATCCACAGAGTTTTGTGTTGTTTGCCAAGGATTTGCAATTTTATAGCAATCATACAGGCATATGCTAAATCATCATATTCACATAGCAGGCTACGTATTGTTTATCCTATATGATAGCTGCTATCTTAGAAGAAATAATAAGTCAGTGCCTGGCTCAGACTGCACAGAGCTACTCAAGGAAAAAAAAAAAGTGGTCCTGATGTGAAAAAATATTTTATTTTTTCATGAAGCACGGTGAAGTCGTAGAAACTATTATCTTATGAAGAAAATGTGAGCTTTTTTGACTCACTGGATGTGGAAGTTAATAGGAGAAGGTTTAATTAGCACAAACCAATGTATGAAAACAGGAATGCAGGGAAGTAATCGTTTATTAAAGTATTAGGATTCTTTGGAGGAGTCAAACTTGGAAATAAAGTATTGCATCAAACTTGAACTTAAGTAGTCATTTTCATACTAATCATAAAACCATGATTTATTTTTATTTGTATCTAATCTGTGTGTAGTTCTTCATGCATATTTCTGTCTTTAGATTCATAACTAAATATATATTCCAAATGCAAAGATTTTGGCTTTCATAAAAGCGCAGATAAAACTTAACGTACATTTATTTTATGCATGACAAGTATTTTAATTAAAACCTCACTTGTTTTTCTTAAAAGATGCCAGTGGTACATAAAGGCCAAAATGAAATCTGAAGAGAAAAGAAGGGCTCATTTGCAAAATGGACATTGTAAGTAATTCAATACTGTGTTACATAATATATATATATATCTATCTCATGTTTTAAATGAAGAATGTTCATCGTTTTCTGTACAGCTTTTGCCCTTGATATTTTAATCTGGCCATTTGGATAGTTCCTTATTGTCCGCACCATCAAGGGTGTTTATTTTTATTTGTATGTCCTCTTGAACAATTACACTGAATTGACTCTACTGAACTCTAGTTAGTAAGGTTTTTTTGGTATTCTATTAATAATATTTATCAATTTTTCAGGTATATTTCTTTGAATTCTCAACTAGTCTGGACCATATTGAATTTCTGCCTCAAAATTCCTCTCGTGGTGACTATGTGCCTTATTTGTATCCAGTTCTCTTTGGCTTTAGGGATCTACACTTCTAGCCACCCAAGAAATAAAAAGTGGAATGGGTTGCCTTCCCTCATGTTCCTGCTCACTGATCAGTACAGTGAGAGAAAATCCTGGCAATCTCTCGTGGGCAGTATATTAGTTTATTTAGTTTAGTTTCGCTACTTAGTTTAAACTACTAGCTTCAGTGTTTTATATTAGAGTAGCTATTTAAAGGTTATATTTATTCAAAGGGTACTATACAAAAGGTATTAAATTTTTTTATTCTCATTTTTGATAACATCCGTGGAAATACTATGATCAAGCCAGAAGCTAAGTCACCAGAAGTAAAATCCTTTTTCAGGTGACACCACTATATCCGGCCAAGTGGCTCTTTCTGTCAAGGAAAAGGGCACATTTCCCCATAAAGGATACTTCCTAGGAAGATTTATTTGTCATTGGTTTCCAAACATGGTCAGAAAGGAGAGAAGACAAAAACCTTCCTGCTGGAGAGTTTGATATATGCCTCTGAGACCGTGACTGAATTTGAGAAAAGCCTCACTCAGTGTCTTTCAGGCCAGGGTAAATGATGACTGTATTTCATGTTGACACAAAGCTTCATCTCAGAGGCTTCTCATTCATTTGCAGTTATCTCAGCATCAGACCTGAGGGGGCAAGTCTCTACTCATGTATGTGCTCCACAGAACCAAGGATAAAGAGGAATTACTGTGATTTACCCCAGCAGCTAGGACTGTATTGCCAACAATACTCCCTCCTTTACACTGAGCACTCAGCGCCTCCATAAGAAGTACCTTCTTCATGCTAGCAGCAGTCTTTATCTGACTGCTGACTACCTATAGATTTGGTATCCAGCATCTCAACTTGAAACAACATGTGAGGCTGTGCAGCCTCTGCTGAGATCAGTATAAGGGTGACCTCTCCTAGACTGGCTGAAGCTGTTTAAAAAAAGTTCCGCTGCAAAACCTGCACTGGTTAGCATCGCCCATTCCTGTTCCCAGATTTGTCATGTCTGCATCCTTTACATCCTATGCTTCTGCTGTGTGCTGAAGAAAACCATCTCCTGTTCATCCTTCCTCTCTCCCTCGGGAGCTCAGTGTGAGTAAGAGGAAGATTTCAAGAAATAAACTCTTTGAAGGGAGTTAGAAAGGGGTCCGTGATCTTGCTGACAATGTGACATCCCATAATGTCTGGTGTCCTCCCCATTCCTGTATGGTGTGTGTACTCTATCAGCTGTGGTCCAAATGGCTGTTCCATACTACTTAATGAAGCCCAGCCACATTCATGTATCCTGAACATGTGTTCTTCACCTAATGCATTCAGACTCATCAGATAATGAGCTGCTTTAGACTCAGCTACTAAGTGATAAGAGGAAGAAGGCTGAGAGGTACTTAATTCTTTTAGAAGAGATTCTCCAGACCCAGCTGCAGTACCCTCCTCTTATCCTGATAAGCTGATGCATTATCTATATCAACTTCTGTTAATGAATTGAAAGTTTTCCAGAACTTAATCACCACATGGCAGCAGCCAAAAAAAAATTCCCATCCAGATAGTCTGAGAGGAACAACATAAGTTCTTGGACATGCCATGCTCAAGAATATGAGGGATATTAGCCATGCCAGAAAATGATGGCTTGCTGGAGCCTGCCAAAGCAATCTGGCACCAACCCACTATTGCCATGGCCATCTCGAAGGAAGCAGACAGAAAATATTGAAGCCTTGTAAATGGATTTGGATATTTTTGTTCTCATCTTGCACGTGGCTCTCTCGTTGTTCAAGCTGATCAGAAGAGAACAAAGCAGCACAGTCCTCCAGGACCCATCCTCAGAGAAAAGGATCTCAAAGATTGGACATGTTTGGCAAAAGGAATGTTCAGCCATCCACCCTTAAATGAAAGGAGTGAATTAGAAAGCACTGTTTTCAAAATAAAGGACAGATTGCCTAAATTGCTCAAGCAAAGGAGAATATAAACTGCTTTGGCAGTAATCGCTGTTAGTCTTCAGGATCTGCTTTTCCCCGTATCTTTGAGCCCTCACTTGCTGTCTCTGTAGACACACTTTTTAGTGACCAGCTCAGAGCTCATGTTTTCTTTCATGACTTGCTGCGTTTTCCAGATTTACCAGCTGTACTTGAAGCATTCCTTAAGGATGTGAGCTAAGTGCAGAGACTCCAAGGAGCCTCTTCAGACTAAAATACTAAATAGCATTTGGAAAGAAAATGCTTACAATAAAAAAAAAAAATCAAATGTACTTTATCTTACCCAAAATAGCATTTTCCTTAAAACTTAGAGAAGGCTGTTATTTTTATCTAAGGAGAAGTTTCCAAAACTTTGTTGTCCTCTTAATTTTCCTGCCTGAAATGCTATACCTCAGGAGATGCTTGTTTTCAGCTGGGACAGAGACAAAACAGAATAAGAGTTTGACACTCTCTTATCAGTTGAATAGCAAAGACTGAGTTTTCTAAAGGCCTTTGACTTTTTATTCCTGTGGGATAAACTCGGGGACCTGTGTAGCCTAGCAAACATGACAGTAACTAGAGGTATAAATAACATTCAGAGAACCTAATACCCGTATATCCTCCGTTCTTTACACTAACACTGTTTATCAGTTATCATTGCAAGCTGAAAGGGTGTTTGATGTAACAATGCACTGCAGCAATCCTGAAGAAGTATCCATGCTTTCAGTCACCCAGAACATCTCAGGAGATTTGAGCAGGGTCCAGCAGGACCTTGCTTACAGTTTCAGCCAGTACTTTTGAATGCTTTTGCTGCCTCTGGGTTGGCAGAGGCTTATCCTCTGTCTGTGGAGTTGTAACACCCAGGTCTTTAATGTCTCAGAAGCCTCACCTAAAAAAGCCACTTGAAGGATAAGAGGAAATGCTTAAGTCTGTGCCCCGTCAATCTTTGAAAGCCCTGGTGCTGCCAGCAAATGGGGACAACTCACGTGCATTCTGCAGTTGGTTTCTGTGAAATCAGTAGCAAGCATTAGTAATTTTGGGTCATTATCCTCTTTTGTTGGGTTCTGGAACTTTAAATGTGGGAGATTTAATATATTATTTCCAATCCTTTCAATTGTCTAGTCAACCAAAAAAAAAAGAGAAAACCATATTGTTACAGTGTGTGAATGTCAAAGAATGCTTGATTCCTAGTATTCTCTCTTTTTTGCAGTACGTTTCCCAGGAATCAAAACATATATTGATCCAGACACGTATGAAGACCCATCTCTTGCTGTCCATGAGTTTGCAAAGGAGATAGATCCTTCAAGAATTCGTATTGAGAGAGTTATTGGGGCAGGTAAAAGTACACCCACTTTAAAAAATGTCTAGGCACGAATAGGCTGCTTTTCTCAAGTCACCATGATAATGCAAGTGGTTGAGTATAGTACAAAATGTGGGCATATTTCTCTGATAGCACCAGTTCACTTTCAGGTGTGGTGTACATGAGGTATTCTATTTGGCTAATATTCCAAATGTGGGTATATTCAAATAAGGAGTTCTTGAGAGGCAGATTCTCCAAAATGATATGTTTGTTGCAAACCTTTTTCAGGGCTTTATCAATTTTTTGGGTAGGGTTGGTTTTGGGGGTTTTTTTTGTTGGGTTTTTGTTTTGGTTTGGTTTGGGGTTTTTTTTGCTTTGTTCCAAATGTACTCAAAACACTGTGTCACTCAGCATTTGCCATAGTTAGTGTCACATATTCTCTGTCACTGAGGGGGAGATTAGATCAGAATCTCTTTCTGGGGGAAGATAGGATCAGAATACAGAAGACTGAGCAAAAAATATTCTCAAACAGAAAATGGGAGGAGTACAAGGGGGAAAAGGAGAGGCTGGCTTGGGACAGGTCTTCCTGTAGCTGTGTGGAGAAGGATCACTGGCAGAGAGGTGAAAGAGGAAGCTCTGATGGGAAGGTGTAGACAGTATAAAAGGTGACATGGATCTCAGAAGCAGGATGAATGGGAAAAATAGCTGCAGGTTCTCCTCTTACATCCCTGTTTGTCCAAGTGTGTGGTGGGGGCAGAGAGGAATTACATCTGAACAATTGTTTTAGACCCTGTTCTCGTCTATGAAGTGTTTACCTTCAGTTGAGAACATCTCATTGGGGATGAAGGCCATTTCACAGCTGTTTGAAAATGAGTTTCAGAAGCTCCTGTATGTATATTGGTCTTTTTTTCTAAGGGAGATAACATGCCCCTTGTGTTTTCAGGGATCTTACACTTTGCTAATGTGCTATGTTTATAGGCATGTCTATTCTGTGCGTTAAGTGTTATCCCCTTGTCTTACCTTTGGTTTAGTTGTCAGGTTTTGCTACTCAGAAAAATGCTGTGCAAGTGTTCCCATGCATTCACTTTCGGAAAGCCTTTGCAGGGGTAAATGCTCATGGCTGCTGTCTAGAGTACACTAGAGGTCCTGATGGCAGCTCAGTGGTGACAGAAAACACACCTTTGTGGTTAACACAACAAAAGTTAAATACTTGAAAAGATCAAAGTCTTGTAAAACCATTTCTTGTAACTTGTGTTCTCTCTCGGGCAGACAGCATTTCATTGTTGACCAGGTCCTGAGATTGTTTGCTCTCTGTTTTACCCAGTTGTAGTTTACTGAGGACTTAGAGAGACAAGGCTGGGAAAGGGCCTTACAAAGTTACCTAGCTAGTGGATCTCAATGCATGGCTTGTGACCAACATGTCATTCAGAAGGCCCACTGACATTTCTTACAGTTACAACAAATTAAAACAAAAAACAGACTGACAAGGAGAGTCTGAAGTTCTTGTGGTGCATTACATCCTCTGTGTTGTTACCTGCACACTGTCAATGGCTGGGGAGCATTAATCATTTTTCAGCCCCAACAGAAAGGGAAGATGGGAGAGCTAAGGGTCTATGTCAGAAATTTTGATGAACATAGGAACAGAATCCTGAGCTCTAATTCCAGCTCCAAAATTTAATTTCTTCCTGAGAAAGACATTAACACAACACCTCTCTTCAGTTTACACAATATGGATATTTCTCTGTGTCCTTAAGATATTATGAGTGACTGAGTTTTGTAAATTGCTGTCTTAAAGGACTTATAATACTGACTACACAGACGTTTTTCTTCACCTCACTGTAATTTTATTTCAGTAGCAATAATTAGTATGTTCCATACTCCAATGCCTATCTTTGAGCTATCCATTCTGGGCTTTCTTTAACAGTGCTGTTTTATTACTTCCTAAGTAAATGCCAACATACAAATGCTTTCTTTTTACCTTATATACTTTCTCTAATTTTAATACCGTCAAGAAGAAAATAAAATAATTCACAGTACAACAGACTGCAAAAATCAGAGTTATATCTTGCAGAAGGGGGGTCAGTGGAAAAAAAATTCTTTTAATTTGCTCATAGTGAGCCCACCAAAGAACTCATGCTAGCAAGTATTGTCAGGAAAATTACTATCAGAAGACATAATGCACTGTGATCCTTCTTTTTTATCTTTGTTTCATATATCTTAGTCATTTGAGAAAGGAGAGGTATTTTTCAGTTGAGATCCCTCATTTAATGATATGTTACTACACTGATAGCGATGGAAATGTCTCCAGTGTTGCTAAAAAGTGTTTTATGCACTAGAAAATGTCACGCAAATAATATAACAGAAATAAAACCTGGTCTGTTAACAAACACGGGAGAGAAAGTATCGACCTGAAGTAAGAGAGAAAATTCTGTTTCACACTGTAGTCCATATCACTAGAGTACTTTAGAGTTTACCTGATTGCTTAAGCTAGATATTATGTAGCTGGCACTGTGCACCATTGGAATTATGAGCTTGAGAGAGCTCCCAGAGGGCTGACTTCTGCAGAAAACATTCTATCTGATTTCTTTTATTTCTTCCTTTTCTTCAGACATACTATAGATATTGACGTCTTAGATTATAAAGCCTATTGAACTACATTCAGCACTGGTATAACTGCTGATTTCAAAGGAGTTGAATACGACAGAGAAGGATTGAGTTTATTGATTTTAATTCAGATGAAAATTGTGTCCTTATTCTCAACTTAATTCATTTATGAAAATTCTTTACTCAGCTTCTCTCTCCCTTTTCTTGTATGCATGGGAGTGAATTTTTGCCTGCTTTGACATATTTTATTTTTATATTTTTTATCTTCTAAAATTACTTGGGTAATCTGCCATCTTCAAAGATATTTGCCTAGCAGGACTTGCAAACTGGTTGCAATGAAATTTAAACCCATTTCCATGCAGGCAAGATACAGGTTAAATACCATGCCTGAGGCACGGAGAGTACAAATTCTCACAGAGTTCTTTGATAGCTGCTAGGGGACATAACATATCATTATAATTCACAGCAGTCCTAAAACTTTCTTTATGCCTTCTCTCTGATTCTGTATGAAACATTGCAACCTGATATAAAATTGATTTCTTAACATAGGAGAATTACTTTTAAAAGATGTTTAAATTTTTCATCGAAGTGAAACAAAAAATTAAAATCTTTTACAAAATGAAACATTAAAATCTTTTAAGAAGGGAATTAATAGATGCATTTCTTAAATTTGTTTTGTTTGAACATTTTATTTTGAGCAATGATTTTCATTTTGAATTTCTCTAACTTTAAAAAACAAAAATTATTTCCATTCAAGAACTAAAAGTTTTCATTTTGAAAATGTCGAAGTGGAACATTGCAAATATTTGAAATAATTTTTCTAGCATTTCTGGTCAGGAAATTTTTAAAACTGATCTTTTCCTGAAAGCAGTTTCCAATTTGGTTTTTCAATGGAAAAAGTCATGATAAAAAGCTCTTGACAATTCACTAGTTGCAGTGCAGATGGCTTTGACACTCAAGGCAAGTATTATTTCTAGTTTCTTTTTTCAGCTTACCTAACTCTGCACCCAAGTTATCTTTTGAAATATTTGGTAATTATAATCTTGGATGATGTGAATTGGAAATGTACATTATAGTATTTGCTGCTGAGGAATCTATCTGAGGATGATACCATCAAATCAGAAGTAGTATTTTCAACTAAAGCTACTGATTATCTCATTTGTGATTACAGCACTGTTAAAAGTTAAAATCTCCTAACTGCTCTACTTACCTCAGATACACATACACTATAATTTGAAAAACAAAGTCTTCCTATTTATTTTGTCCTATACTTCAGTCTCTGCTCAGAAGTGCAAAATCTAAGATCCCCTGAGTGTATTTACCTACTTACACTCTGTTGTACAGGTACATCTGAATGCTGCACAAGATATTGGGCTTTCTCTGCAATCATTTATTAGCCATGTCATACAGACAATTTGGTCTGCTCCTTTGGTGCCAAGTACTCGTAACATAAGGGTAGTACTAAGTGATGTGAAAAAAGAGAGGAAATATCTAAAATTGTTGCTTACACACTGACTGCTCCACATAATGATGTTTTTCCATCAGATACTAAAAACAGGTTCAGAGAAGGTGGCAACAAATGGTCAAATTGAAAAAGTAACAAGATCTTCAAGCAGATTGGAAAATAGCCTTTAGCAGTTACAAAGTTCAAGATGACACTTGGCCTGCAACGGTCAAAGACGTCATAGCCAAAATAAAAAGAGAATGTCTATACATTTAGTTGTAGACCTAATAAACATTCCTATTGCAAGTTCATATCATTAGGCAGGTAATAATAGGAAATGCAAAGCAGCAACAGTTTAAGAAAGGATGTTGAGCTTGTGAGATTATTTTGAGAAAAAATGTATTAGTGCAATCTCTTGTTAAAATCCTTTTTCCAGTCCTCCTAGTGGACATTTACTGAGCTGATGTTTTTGAATGGAGCTAGTTAATTAAAACTTTGATCTCAGCTCTCCCAGTCTTCCCCTCTGGCATGCTTTTGGTGTTCCAGTATATCTGCAAACTCTCTGAATTACTATCCTTCCTTCTGGTGCTTTGGTGAAAATAAAGCAAGTAAAATACAGACTTTGCAAAGTCCTTTCTAAATTATTCATGCTTTACTTACTCCATGTGTAGACGCAAGAGATCTGCATTAAAGGAACAATATCTGCACGCAAGAGATCTGTATTAAATTAAAAATATCTGCACATAAATCCAGATTCAAGATGGATATGTAGTCAGGCTACTTCCCCTGAGTGGCTTCCCGTCATCTCCTACCTTACATCTGGTTCATCTGAGAAAAAAAATACTGTTTTGTAGACCTTTTAATTGAGTAAAAGATTATCCAGGTTAATAGCTCTTAATGGTCTCTTTTGTTAGTCTTCAAATAACTTCTGCTGATATCATCAACCAAATAAACAGGTATTAATGAATTTTACATTCTAGCAATAGTTACTGTTTAAATGGTGAAATTGATTAATCCATTCCCTTTTATCCACTACTTATGACAAAGTTTTACTATTGTTTATTTTGATATTGTATATTCTTAGGTTCAAAACTCTTGGCCCAGTTTTTTTTTTTATCACTAGTATTAAATATTCCATGAGAACTCCCATTGGTTCATTACAAAGATCACTGGGTGCCTTTTTGCCAGTTCCCACAATTTGCCATCTATTCATTGCTGTAGATTTTCTTCAGATGGTCCCTTTCAGCCACTCTTCATATTGAGTTTGCTGCACCTACTGACATGTTATCAAATCATTTGATTTTGTCCTGTCCATGACACTTTCTTCTGCCCCATCACTTCTTGCTCTTTGGTTTGCTTCAGCAGCTCTTCATGGAAGGAATTCCCAGAGGTACTTTGTCAAGCCTATCTTAAAAGTTACAATTATCCTCTTATTTTCTTTGTTAAAATGTTGAAACTCAAGGAAGAGGCCACCTCTTTATTTTGCACAGAGAGTACACTATATTCTTTTTATAATCTAAATCTTCTGCCAGTTCTTCCACAGGTCTAATGACTAAAACTGGGGAAAATGAGTTGAGCTGTATTTGGTGCTGTGACCTTTCAGTTCTATCAACAGCAACTGTCTGTGTTGTAAGACATTTGTTTTGATCCCATGTCGTAATACCAGACTGCAAATCAGACTTTTAAGCAACTGACTATTCCTGTTTCATTTTAAATAACACATATGTTATGACTGAATGAGAAAAAGGATGCGTGGTTTGCACAGGGTAAGTTTCTAGACTGCTCAATTAGCTTCTTTTTGTATAACATACAGTAAACGTGTGGGTTTCATATCATTAAACCAGGGATTATTTACACTTTATTAAAACTGAACAATGAGCTCTATCTTTTCCTCTAGTTATCACCAGCTTTTTCCCTGCAGCAAGGAAAGATGTCGACTTCATTGACATCTGGCTCTCAGCTTCTACTTATTACACATGCAGTCATGAACTTTTACTGCTGCAGGGTCAACATTTGTCTTGTTTATCTTCAAACTTGAGCAATGAGACTTAGATTCTTGATTTTAAAAATCCCTTTTGTTGAATACATTCGCCTGTGACTTTAAAAACATTCAAAATTCTTTATCTGAACAAAAGTGTAGAAAAAATACTCTGGGATGAAATCTTGTCAAACTCTTTCTCAGTGTAAATAGTTCAATGCTTTAAATTATATCACTGATCTCCATCTAGTCTAAACCAGAACTAGAAGTTATAACACATACCTTAGGTTTCTAAATGTAGTAACTGTCTGTTCTGTGAGCTGATGATCACTGTCTGTTTGACATCATTTTTGTCACAAAAAAATTGCTGTTAGTCTTTATGTTCACCAGTTTATCAATACCAATATCCAAGGGGAGTGAAATTTCTTTCTACCTGTACAAATCATGCATCCAAAAAAGGGAAAAGAAACAGGTCAGGGAGAAGACACGATGTTCCTTCCCCTGCTTTGGATGATGTATAGATAATAAATCTTGGGATTGTAAGTCCTTCACTTGACTCCTTCAGTTTAATTCATTTCAAAACACTTGATGAACAGCCCTTTACAGTTCCTGAGGTATGAATGCCATTATTTCTGAAATTCTGAAGTTTTAGTACTCTTGTATAATCTTATAATAGGAAAACTATTATTCTATCACCTATACTTTCCAAAATACTCTCAAAAATGAGATTTTGCAGTTCTACAGATTTATTGATCATGAAATCTCTTTAAAATTTGGATATTAAGGCTCTAGTATTTTTGCTTTTCACTGTTTCATCGAGAGAAAGAAATTGGAAATTTTTTTTATTTTAGGCATTTAAGTTTGAAAAGCCAGTAAGATGCAATAGAGTCATGGCTTTACAGATGCGTTGTAGCACTGCTGGGTGTGTCCCAGAATAGAAGATTGATATACCATGTCTCCTTCAAAACATTCAGGTTTCATGACTTTGTTTTATGGTAGGACTTTAGAAGTCCAAACTAGCTACTGCTTTTTCAGTGGCACTAGTCAGGCAAACAAACTTTTAAGGAGAGCCTTCTAAGAGGTAACGGGCAAAATCATACAAGAAAATCCCTACCCAACTTTCCCTTTTGTCAAAAGATTCTCAGAGCATTAGTCTGATGACATATATTTTCACACATATGCACACATCTTCAAGGAAGCACATGCTTTGATTTATTTTTAAAAATTAGGAGAAATAAAACAAATGGGGTTTTTTGGTAGAAAGAAGACCTAGGACACTTGGCTTTTGTTAGCTGTTTAAGAAGCTGCTAGTTTATTCAGAGGTTATGTTCAGCATCTGTTAATTGTACTCTTGCACTTGATGATGTCTCTGTTTTGATGTGAAAGACAAGCTATGAAATTGTTTTTTTAATCCCTCCACTCTTCCTGGATCTTATTGGCTAATAAAACCTGGTTTCATTTTAGTGGAAGCAACAGAACCTAATAAAATAAAAGCTGTATGACAATATCCATTCTAATCCTATAACATCAGGGAGTTACAATTTTCTGAAGTGAACCTTCTGTCTTTAAGGCCTCTCTCTTCTAGATTCGGTTCATATCTGAAGACACAGTTACAGGATAGAGCTCTCCTATTTGTTTTCTGTTGTTCTGTCCTTAAGGTTTAAGGAAAACTAATTCACTCAATGGATGGGGTAACAAATTATTTCCTCCAGTTAAATATATATCTGTTTATGACTTTTTTGTTTTTCAACAGTTCTGATTCCAAAATGACTGGCGTAGAGAATTTACTTTTACTGTGGAAGTACCCTGCACTGAAAAGTGCTTTGAAATATTTTTGTGAACATTGTTTTTCATTTACTGAATTATGACCCGTTGAAAACTGACCTGCGGGCATATTTGGTAGGGGCTTTAAATAACTTTTGAGTGGCTTCAAGATCAAAGGAAAGTTGTGACTTCCATACAAACTTAATTAGTAAATGTGTAAAGGGAATGCGAGGAGACATGCATTCTTCAAAGGCCCTTACATACACAGGAAAACAACAGGTGAAGCAAGCTTTGAGATTCCTCTTGTTACGCAACTCAGTCCTGATTTGCTGAAACGGTTGGCCTTTGGCTGTCTGAACAGTGAAATATGTAATTAATTTCAAGTAGGTGTGTAAGTCCATTTAATTAAATCTTGTGCAAATGCTTTTCTAGGGCATAATAGCATTAAGTACATTTTAAATGCTTTCTACAATTGGAGGATAGTCAGGTATCCCGATATTCTCATGGCATTTCTTTTCATATAGGTCTTAGTGCACAACACCCCTATAGATAGATATTGCTATAAATAGATATTTTAGATAGATAGATATTTTGTCATCATTAGAATTAAAATCTAAGTGTCATTACATTCCTCCCTCATAGCATGCTCAATTATATCACAAACATATTGATATCAAAGTTCAGTCTCAAAGTGTCTCAAAGATGAACCACACTGTGGAGGGCAGATGGTTTAGCTGTTGCAGTGAAAGTACAAGTCCCCATGATCTCGTGGTGTGGCACAATGGAAAGGTGATTATTTGTTGTGAAGTAATGATTAATATTTTGCTTTTCTGGGATGTGATGAAACTTCGGATCTTGAATATCCCATCCGTTATTTCTCCATCCACTTCTACGGGTTGTGTGAGTTTCTTGAATGTTTTTGTATTCTTGTTTCACTGACAACTACAAATAACTCTAAACTATTAAAAAAGACAGCTTTTAAGACAGCTATTGAAGGTTATTTTGAAAAATAAGGCATTTAAGTTCAGCAATACAAACTGTACTATAGTTCTTCAGGCACTGTGAATGATCTAACAAATATTTTATCTATTTAAGGTGAGTTTGGAGAAGTATGCAGTGGACGTCTGAAGACACCAGGAAAAAGAGAGATACCTGTTGCAATTAAAACTCTAAAAGGCGGCTATGTGGACAGGCAGAGAAGAGATTTCCTGAGAGAAGCTAGTATCATGGGGCAATTTGATCACCCAAATATAATTCGCCTTGAAGGAGTTGTTACAAAAAGTAAGTTATTATTAATAGCTTTTTGTTGTTTTTCCCATTCTATGTCATTTAGTATCAAAATTAAGCATTACTTCCACATTCAATATGAATTGCAATTCTCAGAAATTATCTAAATCATAAAGTGCAGCAGAAACTGCAGAGTTTGGGACCATAACAGGAAATTCATAGCCTATCTGTTTTCAATTAAAAATTGTTTATTCTTGTTTTTTAATAAAAATCCTCATCATTCAAATAAAGTCTTTACAGGTTCTCATGAAATAGCACTGTAGAGTTTGCTTATAGGCAAGCGGAATAGGTAGAGAAACCCGTAAATGTAACTGAGTTGACAATGAAGTCAAATCATCGTGTCAGGTAGCGGCTACGGTCTTCTTTTCCCACAAACACTCACTCTTTATTTGGTTGTGTTTTACTGATTTTGGTACCAGAAGAGATCAGTTTCCTATTTTAAAGAAACAAAATGTAAACTCTTTTAAACTTATTGTACACTTGCAAATGATTCACTAAAACTCCAGAATAATCTATGAAATGTCTTACACTTTATAGCTATTGCAGCTGCCAAGAGATATCCCTTGCCTCTGAAATCTAGCGTTTTTAGCAGGGTTGTGGGCTTTTCTGAAATATCTAGTTATCATTTAAATATTAAGTAAAAGTCTTATTAATGCATGTAATTTCTTTAATGCCAACTTTTGCAGTAATGAATTAAAAAACTCATAAGGTATACTCTTCTCAAAATTAATTGTTGCCTCAACTGAGCCATATTGTTTGCTGATTTGCAGTACTTATATTTTTCTTGTAAAAATCAAGTGTTGTGTGTATAAAACAATGATGTCCTCTTACTGTCACAGTAAATACAATAAATATGTTATGAATATTTCCTATTTCCACCTTGTTACAATATCAAAAGCTATGTTTGGAAAACACAACATACTAGAACAAAGAGAAGATTATAGCTCCTGAACTCCTGTCATTGGAATGGAATTTCAGTAGGTTTATGGGATGACCTTGTTCAAATCTGTCTCTCTGTGGTTCTAAATGAAGATGAAAAGGATCTTTTTTTTTCTTCACACAGTATTGCAAGGATAAATTCATTATAATTTAGGAATGTTTGGTTACTAGATTAACAGAATCCATTACATTGCAGACTTCTGGAAAGATATGGCTTAGTCTCCTCCATTGCTCTCCCGTCAGTAACTGCTCTGCTGACAACAAACAAGAACATGAGTTAACGCTGGCTGAGCAGCATGGGAACTCTTTGTCAAGAGATGTAAATATGTAGGAGCTTAATTGAATTTAGCTCCTTGCTTCATAATGAGTGGTATAGCAGCAATTAAATTCCACCAGTCTTCACCAACATGGGCAGTTTATGAACCACTATCACAGGTATGACTAGGATCCACGTGGTGGATCTAGTAGTATATGTCTCATTTCTGGAAAAGGTTATGCCTGTGATTTACGAACATCGTTTGAATCCAATTAGATGGTGCAGACAGAGTGCAGTATAATGTTCTTGGCAATGGCATGATTGTTTAATCTTTGCCACATTTATAAATTTTCTTTCTGTAATGTCTCATCACCAGTCTAGAGAGAAATGAAGATTGCATTAAGAAAAAAGAAACAAACAGATAAATCAGTGCTCCAACATTAGAGTATTTGTTCCTGTTCTACAGGAAAAGTGATTATAGACAACCTTAAGTCAAGAAGTTATCGTATCAGTTCTGCTTTTCTCTAAGGAGTCAACAAACTTAATTATTGTTTTTGGAATGTTTGTTTAGAGGTAATATAAAAATAGTAGGTATTACTGGTATAGTCACACTGTCCTATAAAAATATGCATCTCTCTCAGATATAAAATAAGTAGAGAAAGTTTGAAAGAAAACATTTTTGGGTCAGGCAGGTTTAAAAAAAAAAAACAATTATACAGCAGTAATTATAGAATGAAAAAAATACATGAGTTACCAACAAATTTCACCCTAAAGCATGGAAAGTGCAAGTTATATAAAGTGTAAAGGACAAAGTTGTGCAGTACTGCTCTGCTGCAGGGAAGAAGCTAGGAGGCAGGCTGAGCAATGGACACACGTACTCTGCTATGCTTCTCTTTTGCCAGTTTATCTTTAGGATGTTGCCTTGCATTTATACTGCCCCATCTGTGGTATTTAGAGAATCATGGCTTCAGCTGGGAGCAGAACATTTACCTTGCATTTCACTAAATCCTAAATCTAGGATTGCACAAGCCAACAGGGACAGAAATTTCCTATAACTAAAAAGTATGCTGTAAAAATGAGACAGAACATTGTCCTAACCAAATTATTTATGTAATGATAGCATGATTAAAAGGTGGTTTGTGTTAAAACTTAGATTAATAACAGCAGAAACTATTTATCTGATGTCCATTACAGTTCCACTAACCTATAAAGGCACATTGGATGCAGTAAATGTGATTAATAGACGTGTAACGCTGTTCTTAGCACATGCTTTCCTCTTTGTAACCATTAGTCATTAACTTCTAGCAGTTGCTGATATATATTGCATCAGTTTGTAAGCAGTACCTTCCATTACCGTGTCATTGACTATTGAACAAAAAAGAAAAAGGATTTGATTGTAATAAGCAGAAGTGCTCTACCAAGTCAATAGCTATTGACTGGGGCAATAACAAATTTGCCTGTTCATTACAAATGAGAGCTTTTATCTGGTGCTACCAGCTAAGCAGATGTTAACTTTTAAATGATACTGTTTTCAAAATTGCTATGGAATATGTATTGAAAAAATGATAAAACTAAGCCTGCTCAGAAGTAGGTCTGAAACAGAGTTTTAATCTCCTTTTCTTATTGCTTCATTTCTCATTTGTCCTAACTGCGATCCCTAATCATAGACAGCAGTAGACAGCAGTAGACAGAACAGTTGCTGTAGCACAAGCTTTCTGTTAGCAGAGAGTTCATTTCAAGGGCAATTTGTCAGGCCAAGGCAAATACACCGTAGCACAGACTCTGGATCCGATAGTTCACTTACATTGCTAATGAGAAGTCACAAGGGAAACTTTATTCCTGTTTGGTTTGTTTTAGCAACACCATTCCTTGCATGGTTTGCCACAAAAGGCTGCTTATTGCCTTGCAAATTGAGGAGAGATGCTTAGGCACTTTATAAAAACATCCATGTTTCCTTTTCAAGTCATGTTAGCACAGTGATAATTTTGGGAGCTCTTCTTGTGGGTGTCAGGGCATGCTCAGCGGAGTTGTATGTCATTGTCCAAGCTGCTGCTATTTCATAAACAGGTATAAGAAAAATAAAACTTCTTTCTCCAGCATGAACATATGTAACCAACATTGAGATCTGGGCTATCTAGAAGTAGGATGTATCTTCCACTTCCACATCATGTTGAAGGCTGTGTTGCAGACTTTCCACAAAAAGTCTGTAAACTAAACTAAAGCTAGGCTTACAGCAAACACCTGCCAACATAACTGTATCTACAAGAGACATGAAAAAATGGTCTCTGACTATTGTAACAGTACTGGAAGAAATCACTGGTGTTACACTAGCCAAACTGGAATCTATAGTTTAGCTTGATGGTACCTTACGCAATAGTTTAAAGCACGGCCTTGTCAGTACTGTGTAATACTGTGTCAATACAAAATATCAATGCATGCAAGGGTTTTATTGTAATAAATAATCTTAGTTTGTTCCTCTCCCCCTCAGACTTTACCCCAAATAACTTTCAATTGTTAAAATTAATTTCTAAGGAATTGCTTCCATTTCTGAACTTTGCCTACTGGAGGATTTGCACCAGTCACATTTACAAGAGGAATCTTTTTAAGGCATTCATTTTCTTTAACAACATTCTGTATATTGTTATTCTCCAGAAGAACTTTCAAATTAATCCCTTCACAAAAGGAGGATGAGTGAAGACAGCACCTAGATTTTTGGTTCTGTGTAAGCTCACATTCCCATAAAATCGAGTCTGGGTTTGGAGTGACAGACTTCAACTCCCTTATTGTCTCCTCTGTTTTGCTTTAGTGAATTTCAAATTGTGAATGCTATCACAGTTCTGAAATCCTTATTCAGTCATCTGGCAGATTAAATTCAAAGCTTTAATCATTGAGTTTCTTTTTAAATTATTGTGTATAACCTGTTCAGTGGAAGGTGGGTCCTGAGGTCAGTGTATCTTGCTTTGTCCATGAGGAAGGCAAAGCAGCACCGTGATCCTCTTTCACTACAATTTGTAGGATGTAGCTCTTCATAGCTGACCCATTTTTCATTTATCAAAAATGCAGGAGATAACAATGAATTTATCTTTTTTTCATCCAAGACATTGTGTTCTAGGCCTTTGAGCCCTTAGTGTACTGATTCTAATGTCGCCCTTTTCTCCAACCTGTTAAGGTTGAGACTGTTAAATGGGGTTCAGAATTCATTTTGGGAGGTGACATATTTTGCAGTACATGTGTCTATTATACACAGCATTGTATACTTGGCTGTTATGCAAAAGGATTGAGGAAATTTTGTAGCAGTGTTTGTAAAATTCTTACCTTTGTCATGGATGGTGAAATTGTACTCCCAAGAAATGTGATCGTGCAAAGTTTAAATGTTCACCTTTTAAGAGTTGAGTTAAGTTGTGACTACTTGAAGTAGGCTACACCATGATAGCTTACAAAATATGATTGTATTATACACCAAAAAAATGTGACTTACATTATAGTACTTATCATTGATTTCTGAAAAGTAAAACCTTTAGGGCCAACAGAAAATCTATGATGTTAATAAATTACATGTTAGCATTATAGTATTGTTTATAACCTAGAGTGTAACCAACTTCAAATCTTGACATTTACTTCTGTCAGTAATCTCAGTACATCACTGAAGACATCATTGGCATCTCCAGGCACAGATGTACTTGTTGGAGGCCAAAACGGCTTCAGACCCACCCCTTGAACCCACCCTTTGCACTGGCAGGCACTTACACCTGCCTTATGCGACACAGATACACAGCAGGGTATGAAGACATTATTCATC